AGACAGGGACCATTTAGGGGGAGTCAGGCACTATCAAGGCGAGGACAGGAGCTAGGGGACCCCCGGGGAGGGGGTCAGGGGCTCTCTGGGAGGGGGACAGGGACACTTTGGGGAGGGAAGGGGGCCTCACCTTGTCGATCTCCTTCTGGCTGGTGCCCTCCTTGCGCAGCCGCTCGTACTCCTGGCACTTGCTGTGGTAGCTCTCCTTGGACTTGGGCAGCAGCTGGGCCACCCCGTGCAGCAGCTGCACGGCCTCCAGCGTCCCTGACACCTCCTCCTTGGACTGGGGGGGGCACGGTGGGGTGGGCAGGGGGCTCTGGGACACTCTGGGGAGGGGGCAAGGCGGGGGGAGGACACAGTACCTTCTTGTGCACCCGGCCCTGCTCCTCCCCGTAGCGGGAGATCTCCTTGATGAGGTCGTGCAGCTTCTTCATCAGCTCCAGGTGGCACAGCGCCAGCTTGTCCGAGGAGATGCGGAAAACCTCCCACAGCGGCGCGAAAGTCCTGGATGGAGGCGTGGGAAGGATCAGCGGGGTCCCCACAGTCACCTCAGGGCACTCCAGACCCCCCTCATACCCCAGCTGGGTCCCGTTGGTGGCCATCTTCGACAGCTTCACCATGGCCTTGGCGTAGTTCTCCTCGATGGCAGCCCTGGGGACAGTGGGGAGGGGGCTCTGGGATGGAGCCGGTGATTCTGAGGACCCCCCCAGGTGACCCCCCCGTCCCCTGGTACCTCTCCCGGACGAAGTCAGCCAGTTCCTTGGTGGAGATCTGCCCGTGCTTCATGTTGTGGTAGAGCACGTCGAAGCCGTGGTTCTTCTCACCCTGCCAGGGGAACCCCCCCCGGGCCCCCACTCAGCTCCCAAACCCCACCCAGCACCCCCCCACACACACACACCCTCTCCCAGCACGGTGCAACCACCCGGAAGCATCTTTGGGGTGGCCTGAAGGGCCCCCCCGGGGTGCACAGGGGGGTGCTGAGCCCCCCACCCTTCCCCACGTGCCCCCGGGGATGCCCGGATGCTCCCCCGGGGCAGAGGCAGGAAGGGGTGGGCTGAACCCGCCTCTTACTGGGGGTTATTTTGGGTGCCCCCCACCCTGCGGGGGTGGATCCCCCCTGTCCCGGCCGGGCTGGGGGTGCAGGTGACACTACGCGGGGGAAGGGGGGGAAACTGAGGCAGGAGGAAGAGGAAGGTGCCGGCAGCTGCCAGAGCCCGGCAGGGACAGACCAGGAAGCACCGGCCACGCGACTTCCCCCTGCCCGGGGCACCTGGGAAGGCCGGGGATCCCCAGGGAGGGGGGGCAGGGATGGTACCGCGAGACCCCCCCCAACCCATCACCCTCCCCGCCCCAGCAATGAATTTGCAGCGTTAGCAAAGGTGTCAGGACCTGAAAACCACCCCCTCTTCAGGGTGGGGGGCCCTCTACAGTGGGCCCAGAGGGTGGGGGGCACCCAAGGTGGGAAGGCACCCAAGGGTGGGGGGTCTAGGCTTACCCAGAAGTGCTCGGTGAAGTAGGACATCTTGGAGGGGGGGGTCGCGGGGACCCCCACAGCTCAGCTCCCAGCGCCCTGGGGGGACAGCGGGACCTCAGCGGCGCGGTTTGGGGGTGCTGAGCGGAGCCCCCCTGCCCGCACCGCGCCTGCACGCACCGCTATTTATCGGTTTTCCCGGGAAAACGCAGCCTCGTGGCCATGGAAACCGCAGGCTCCCCCTCCTGCCGTCCCCCCTCCCCACCGCGGACCCCTCCCCAAGGTGTGTGTCACCCAGGGGTGCTGGGGGGGGTGCGGAGGGTCCTGGGGGCCCCTGGGCAGCGCTCGGCCCGACACCAGATACGCAGATCAATAATAAATGAGCGGCTGCTCCGAGCGGCGGAGGCTGCTCCCACACCCAGTCGTGCCCGTGGCCCCCAGCCCCTCAAAACAGCCCCCAAAACACCCCCTGCCCCCGGGAGCCCCTGTCTCCCACAAAGAGGGGACCCGGCTGTCCGGACACCTCTCCCCGCCCTCCCCGACCCCCAAATGTGCCGTGCTGGGGTCACCCAGAGAGCAGCCCCCATCACTCAGCAGGGGGCCCCTATAGCTGAGCCCCCAGGCTGTGACCCCAACCCGGCTGTGTCCCCCGGTCCCGCTCCCCATCATGCACCGCAGAAAAACAGGAAACCCCAAAAATTCGCGCCTCGCTGGTGCGACGGGGAGGGCCCCCCCACACGCACTCACCCTGGGCTCTTGGGGGGCTCGCGGGGCCCCCCCGATCATCCTCGGCGCGCCGCGGGTCTGGAGGGGGGGAAAGGGGGAGTCAGGGTACGCTGCAGTTCCCCCCAAAACCCGCTCCGAGCCCCCCGGATCCGTCGGTCCCTCCGCACGGGCTCAGCCACCTGTGTCACGAGCGGGGCGGGCTCAGCGTGGCCCCCCCCACTTCCCCCCTGTCCAAGTGTGGGGGGGGAGAGAGGCAGGGGGGACTCGGGGGGGCGTTCAGGGCCCGGCAGACCCCCCCAACCCCCCCGAGGGCGGCCGCAAACGCCACGAACCCGCGGCCGGCCAAAGTCCCCGGGGATGGGGGAGGTGGCCGCGGCCACCGAGTCCCTCGAGCGGGACGGGGGTGCGGGGCGGGGGCTGCGGCAGAACCCCACGGGACCCCCGCGCTCCCCCCACCCGGGCGAGCTCCGAGCACCCGCAGCCGTGACCTTCAGCGGGGCGCGGGGGGCGCGGGGACCCCCCCGAGGGGTGCGGGGGGCTTGGCGGGGCTCAGCTCGAGGAAGGGCCGCACCTGAGCCGGAGAGGGGCGCAGGGAGGGCTGTGCATCCCAAACCCCGGGGCAGCGGGAGGCACCGCGGAGGGATCGGGCGTGCACCCCCCCAAATAAAGGAGGGAAAGCGCTAAAGGGAAGCTCCTGCACCTGCAGCGCGGGGGTCTCAGGGGGCCGGGGAATGGGGCAGTGCAGGCAGCACCGGGAGCGGGATTTTGGGGAGGGCGCCGCGCCGGTGCACGGTGAGAGGGGCTTTATTAAAAGAAGGGGAGTGCTGCGGGGCAGGGTGCGCTGCAGAGGGGTGTGCTGCGCTTGAGGGGGCGCGGGGGCAGGCTGAGGGGGCAGCAGGGGATGATGCTGCGGGGGCGGCGGCGGGGGCACCGCGCGGGAGCGGCACGGCGAGGGCTGCACGGCGGGGGCTGCACGGCGGGACCCCGCTGCGGGGCTCGGGGGCGCGGGTCGCTCCCCGCGGGACTCACCTGCGGGGCCGCCTCAGCCGCCGCCCCCGCCCCGGCCCCGCTCCCGCTCCGGCCCCGCCACCGGGACCGCGCCGCGGCCGCCCCGGCCACGCCCCCTCCCGCCGCGCCGCGCCCCCATTGGCTGCCGCGCCCGGCAGCGGTTACAGCAGCCCGCGGCCGCCGCCGCTGATTGGCTGAGGCTCCGCCGCGCCGCGCGCGGGGAGGGGGCTCATTTGCATCTTTTAAAGCGGCCGCCGCCCCGAAAAGCGCCCGGGGAGGGGCGGGAGCGGCAGCGGTGCGGGGGGAGCGCAGCGATGCGGGGCGGGAGAGGAGCCGCCTGCACCACCGAGCCGTCCCCACGGCTGTCGCCGTCCGTGGGGATGTCACCCTCTCCCGGGCTGCCACACCCCGCGCTGGCACAACCCCCCCCGCTCTCACGGGGCTGCTCGCGGTACACCCACCGCCACGATCCCCGCCGGCGGCCACCGCACCCTCTGCGGTGCCGGGCTCGCCCCCCCCGCGCCCCGGTGCCACCCGGTGCCGCGCTCGCCGCTGAGCTCATGCCCCGGCTCCGGCTGACACCGGCGCAGCTGCGGGCACCGAGGAGGGTGGGGGGACCGGAGGGGGGGGGCCACATTCCCAATGGAATCAACCAAACATCAACGCGACCAGCCCGCGGTGCCACCGGAGCCGGGGCAGCGGGGACGTCACGCGGCGGCTCCGGTTACGGTCCCTTTTGTCCCGTCCACACCTGGCAGGTGTCCCCGCCGTGGGGTGGCACTGCCAGGAGGAGCCGCTGCCACCGCCGCGGCCCCGGTGGGGTCGGGGGGGCTGAGGATGGAGGAGGCGGTGGGTGGGGGACCCCTCCCCACCCCGCGCACGGCTCAGCCAGGATCAGGCCTCTGCTGGCGCTGCCACCGCGGTCACTGTCACCTCGGTGACCCCGCGGTGTCCCGAGGGGGGGGTGATGCTGGAGAACCCCCGGAGCCCCCCCCACGTTGCGGGGACCGAGCTCAGCGGCTGCAGCCCCCTCCTCCGCGGGCCGGGGGCGGCGGGGATGGGGATGGCAGCGATGGGGATGGGGATGCAGTTGTCATGGCAACCCCGCATCCAGCCTCAGCCTCGGCGCTGCCGCACCAGCCCCGCAGAGCAGCCGCCCCCCCCGGCCCCTCTCCAACCCCCCCAGGACAACACCCTGAATCCCCTCAAGCCCCCAACCCCATTCCCACCACCGAGTGCAACCCCAGAGCCCCCGACCCCCAGGGCTGAGCCCAGTCCAGCCTTCACATCCCCCCGAGAACCAGGGGACTCCCCCACAAACACCCCAAATCCATAGGACCCCCTAAAGCCCCCCAACTCCTCTCCCAGCCCAGATGCCCCCTCCCACACTGAGCTCAACCCAGTCTTAACCACCACCCTCAAATCCACGGGACCCCTCCAGAACACAGGAGACAAAAATAACTGGGAATTATCCTCTTTAATGCTCATTTTCCACACATTTTGCCAAACGGGATCGTGGCGTGCAAGACGGGGAGAGTGTGCTGGGTCCATGGGCAGGGGCTGGGGGGGGGGGTGTCAGAGCCCCCCTCCCCAACACCCCACAACCTCCAAACCTTCCAGCCAAAAAAAGAAATATATAAAGCACTAAAGGTGAGACATTCAGTGCCCCCTCCCCGGACACGTAGGACGATACAATCAAAGGTAAAATGCCCCCACGGGCACCAGGGTGGGGGGTACAGATAAATAACACCACCCCACCACCCCCTCCCTCCTCCTCCCCACCCCCTCAAAAAAAAAAAAAAAAAAGGTTTGGTTTGTTCAGTTTTCACTATTTTCGTCTTGCTTTATTTTTTTCCTTTTTTTCTTAAAAGTCATTACAAAAAGAGCCATCGAGGAGCCTCCTACAAAACGGGTTAGTGTTTGTCTCGGGTGGGGATTGGGGGGTGTGGGGAGGGGAGTCATGTCCTGCCCCCATCCCTCCACTCCCAGCCCAGCCCCCTCCCCCCGTGCTCTCCTCTCATCAAACCCCTTAAAAATTGCACGTGACGTTTGGTTTTGAACAGCTTTCAGCAACTCAGGGGGTGGGGGTGGATGGGGGGGCTGCCTCCCACCCCCTCACCCAAAAAATGGTGGGTAAGCGAGGGGGGTTCTTCCCCCAGCTCCCCCCAAAATCTGCTGCCAGGGGGGGAAGAGCCATCAGTGCAGCGAGTTGTCAGGTCTCAGGGGGAGGATGGGCCCCCCCACTGCTGCACATGAGGTGTGTGTGGGGAACATCTGCTTTCTGGGGGGGTGGGGGAACAACCACTTTTGGGGGGGTGAGGTCACAATGCCAGGGACAAGGCTGCAGGAGCAGCCCCCCAGGCTCCTGCCCCCCTCAGAGATGGGACCCCCGAGGTTGTCCCCCCCCAGAAGGAGAGCTGCCCCCCACCCCAGGGGGAGCAGGGCAGTGGGTATGGGGGCGGGGGCTTGTCCAGGGAAGGGGATAAAACAACAGAACACCAAAGTTTACCCTGTTAAATAGAGCTGCCTGTTGGGGAACGGCTCAGCACCGCTGCTGGATGGGGGGGGGGTTATATCCTGCCCCCTCCCATCCCCCCAAAGCAGGGTGACCCCTCCCCAGCTGGTCCCTCACCCCCTCCCCGGGCTGGCGGCGGGTGCAGAGCGTGGCTGGCGTGGGCATGCGGGGACCACGCGGTGGGGGGTGTGGCGGGGGGGAGCTGAGGGCTCGGGGAACCTCAGGGAGCCCCCCCCTGGTCCTTGGGGGGGAGGGTGGAGGCACAACCCCACATCCCCCCAGCAGAGCCCCCTCTCCCTCCCCTCCAACCCACAGTGGCTTCACAGCCCTGAGTGGGAGAGGAGGGAGGAGGGGGGCTCCCAGAGGAGGACGGGGTGGGGGGGGGTTGAAGCCCACGCTGTGTGTCCCCCCCCCGCCCTCAGAACTCCACCTTGCACGCAGGGAAGGTCTCATCCTGCATGGCCACGGTGCTGTTGCTGCCCAGCACCGTGATGCCCAGCTCCTGCTGCCGGTCGTGGGTCTCCTGGTACCACTCGTGCATCACCAGCGAGTCGAAGGTGGGGATCAGGGTCACCTGTGGAGACACCGGGGACACCTCGTCACCCACCCCCCAGCACGGGGAAGGGGCTGATCCCCCCTGCCCCAGGGACCCCTGGGGGCTCACCTGGATGTCGATGCCCCACTGGTGCTTGCCGCTGAGGAGGGCGTCGAGGAGGGGGCGCAGCACCCCCTCCTTCAGGTGGTCGTCCCCGCTGACCACGTAGCAGAGGGAGCGGACGCGCCGGAAGAACTCCTCGTCCACGGTGCGGGCGCTCCAGGAGCCGGGCAGGTACGCCAGGTCCACGTAGATGGGGGGGCCCTGGGGGGCTGCAGCCCGTGAGCCTGCAGGGTGGGGGGGACACACACCATGGTCTGCAGCAGTCCCTGATCCCCCCAGACCCACTGCTGGTGTCCCACAGGGACCCCAGAGCGGGAGCCCCCCCGTCCCACACCCCGTACCTGCGGGTGATGCCCGTCCCGCTCCCGCCGCCGGCCGGGCTCCAGCGCCACGGGTGGTCCCGGGGGTGCGGGGGTCCCCGAGGGAGGGGCCCTTCTTGTCCCCAGGGAGCGGCCTGGCCTTGTCCCCGCTGTCCCGGGCTGAGCTGGTGGGACCCCTGGCCTTGGGGGCCGAGGAGGGGTGTCGGGGGGGCTCAGCCTTCAGGGCAGGGGGCGCGGAGCCCACGCGGGACGGGATCCTCTTCACCTTGCTGGGGGGCTCCTTCCTGCCGGGGGGCAGCGCCTCGGGGTCCACCATGCAGATCCCAGGCTGGGCGGGGATGGGGCAGGGGTCCTTCAGGGGGGCCGGCAGAGGGTCGCAGGCTCTGGCCACGGCGCGGGGCGGCCGCTCCGAGTCCTCGTCCGACTCCAGCCCGTCGGCCAGGAGGGAGGGGCAGTCCTCGGTGGCCGGGGGGACGTCGGAGTCGGAGAGGGTGGGCAGCGACTCGCTGACGGAGGTGGGGGGGGTCTCCCCGGGGCGGCCCCGGGGCGGCACCAGCTCCTGTGATGGGTCACTGTCCGACAGCTCCCGGGGGCTGGCGGCGGCCGAGGGCGACCGCTCGGACTTGGGGTGCTCGAACTCGCAGGGCGACACCAGGCACAGGTCCACGTCGTGGGGGGACTCGGAGCGGCGGCCGGGCCGCGGTGCCGCGTCCCCGTCGGCCCAGGGCGGGTGGTGGCAGGGCCGCAGCGGCAGCGACAGCCCCCCTTTGGCAGGCTCCGGTTCCGGCGTGTCCCCGGTGCCCCGGGAGCGCCGGCCCTCCTCCGGCGGGGACTCGCTGACCGGCGGCAGCACCTGCTCGAAGGAGACCGACAGCGATTCGTCCACCTCGGTGGAGTGCGGGGAGCCCACCTCGGCCGGCAGCGAGGGCGTGGTGATGGTGGGGGACACGTCAGGGACTTCATCCTTGAAGGGGCTGAGGGACAGACACCCCGCCTGCTTCTCCTGCCCAGGGCCATCCTGCCCGGCCTTGCCCCCGCCCGCCGGCCACGCGTTGGGCTGCCGGGCGGTGCCGGTGCCCGGCTCCTCCGCGCCCTCGTCCACCGGGGACTGGTGGAAGGGCGTGTGCCCGGCACTGGCCGGCCCCGAGCTGGCCGGGGACATCATCTCCAGGGTCTTCTCCTCGGAGCTCCCGCAGGGGTCCTCGGTGCCCTCGGGGCCGTGGTTGAGCAGCCCGGTGGGCGTCAGGTCGAAGTTGACGCTGCGGTCGCTCTTGGGGGTCTTGGCCATGGGCGAGGGGGGGCACACGGCCCTCAGGGGGCTGCTCTCCAGGTAGCGGAGGCGCTGGGGGCTGTCGGGGTCCTCCAGGCCGTTCTCCAGGCAGGAGGAGTCCCCCGGCCGCCTGGGCCCCCCATTCTCCAGGGACAAAGGCTCCAGCTCGCTCTCGGCCGTGGCGATGCCCTCGTCCGTGGATTCCTCCTTCCTCCTCCTCCTGCCGGGTCCCGGCTCCCGCTCGGCCTCCGGCAGCATGTCCTCAGGGGAGGAGGACTTGGAGCCATCCGACGTCCCAGGATCCTTCCTGGCACCCACCTCCCGTGGGGTTTTACCCTTGGGTTTCTCCAGCTCCTTCTTGAGTGGCGGCTTCTTGATGCTGCCAGCCTTGGCCAGGGGCTTGCGGGTCTCGGGGACCGGCGTTTTCCGTGCTGGAATCTTGGCTGGAGCCTTGGCCTCTGCCTTGCTCTCCTTCGTGTCCTTCCGCAGTGTCTCAGCCTTCGCCTCCTTCTTCACCACCTTCACCTCCTTCTTGGCCTCCCCTTTCCCCTCGGCCCCCTCGTCCTTCTTTGGTGGCTTCTTCTCCTCTTTCTTGGGAACAGGTTCCTTCTTGGGAGCCGCTTTCTCCTTGTTCAGCTTCACCTTCACGTCTGCCTTCGCCTTCTCCACCGCAGAGTCTGGCTTGGCTCGAGCATCCTTGGCTTTCTCCTCTTCTGACCCTGTTCTGGCCGTCTCCCCCAGGGATTTTGGCTTCTCCTTCGCCCCAGCCTTCACATCCTTCTTCTCCACCTTTGGAGTCTTCTCCTTGGGCACCGGTGCCCCAGCCTCCACCAGGCTGAGCTTGGAACCCGACTTCAGGCTCTCCTTGCTCTCCGCCCTCCTCTGCTTCAGCGGCTTCTCCGGCGGGGACGCTGACACCCCCTTCAGATCGTTCTTGGTGACCACGGGGTGCTTGAGGAACTCCAGGTGCTTCACCTTCTCCAGCCCCTCCAGGATGCGGGCCTGGGGGGTGCAGCCGGGGAAGAGCACCCGGATGATCTTCTCGGAGCGGCTCACGGGGTGCCAGACGAGCAGGACGCACACCGAGGTCAGGCACTGCAGGGGCAGGTCCTGCTCCTTGGGGTACCCGTTGCCCGCCCACTGCTGCAGGAGGAACTCCAGCTCCTTGGTGCCCTTCACGGGGTTCAGCACGTACATGTCCAGCCGGCCCACCCCCATCTTCTGGAAGAGCACGGTGGGCTCGGCGCGGGGGCCGCTGTCCCGGGCCAGCAGGTTGGGGCGGATGCCCAACTTCTCCAGGTAGTGCAGGGTGAGGGCGGCCTCGTCGCAGCTCTTCAGCACCCGGGAGTTGCCCTCGATGTCCTTCAGCTTCTCGGAGGCGTTGAGGAAGACGACGCCCAGCTCTGGGGAGATGAGGTTCTTGGCCCAGTCCCCGTTGCCCTGCGAGCTCTGGGACTGGGATGGGTCCTCCTCCAGCTCGGCCAGCTTCCTCTGGAGCAGGCTGTTGATGCCAGGCAGGCTGTCCGTGCCCGCGTGCGTCACCAGGATGGAGTCGATGCGGTCCAGGTGCCGGACCAGCTTCCAGAAGGAGGATTTGGGGTTGGAGCCCCCGTTGACCAAGACGTTGAAACCGTTGACGGCAAAGAAAGCAGAGTCCCCTCTCCCGCCCGGGAAGATATAGCAGCAGGGCTTGGAGAGCTTGAGGAAGCCCACCATGGTGGGGGGCTCCAGGAGGTCGAAGGGGGACTGGGGCTCCAGAGACTCCGACAGGTACTCCATGAACTCCTCCAGCCCCTCCATCTCCGGCAGGACGCAGCCTGGGTTGTAGCGCAGCTCGATGAAGTCCTGGAGGTTGTGATGCTCCAGGCCCGAGTCCCTCCACTCCCCAAAATCGGGGCAGCTGATGGTCAGCCTGGCCTTGGCCGAGGGGTCTGCGGAGCTCAGGATGTCCCCCACCTGCGAGGGGACGGGGACAGCCAGGGCTTCAGGGGGGAGGTGGCACCAGGGACAGCGATGTGGCGGCCACGGGGGGACCCTGCCTCACCCCCCTACCCTGGGGGTCCCACATTCCCCGTACCCACAAAGGGGGGGCCCTTCCCTGGTTCCCTCCCAGCCCTGGTGTGGCTCAAGGCCGGGATGTGGCTCCCCCAGCATGGCAGTGAGGGGGGGACACTCCAGCAGCCCTTTGGAGCAGTGGCTGATCCATCCCCCTCCCGCTGCCGTGCCCGACTCCCGCCCAGACGCCGGCGACGTGCGCAGACAGCGGCTCCGGCAGCGCCCGCCCGCAGCCCCCCCAGGGAGGGGGGGGACAGGCAGCTCCTTCCCCAGGCTCCCTCCCCCGGAGCACCACACCTCCTTATCCGTGAAGATCTGGATGAAATCCCGGAGGGAGAAGCAGCCGGTCTGCAGCATCAGCTCGCCCGTGTCCTCCACGCAGGGCCCCGCGAACACGAGCAGCTTGTGCTGCGATGTGTCCGTGATGAGGTTCCGCAGCTGGGGACGGGGGGGACGTGAGGACGGGGAGCGGGGGACGTGAGGACAGAAGGGACGCGGGGACGGCGCTCGGATCCACCCCAGGGCCGCCATTCCCAGCTCACCTCGTCGCACAGTGACTTGTCGGAGGGGTTGAGCAGCACCAGGGTCTCCAGCACATCCCCGCGGTGGTGGAGGGTCCTCTGACCTGCCGGGAGCAAGGGCTGACCCCCACCCTCCCCAAAATGGGGCTGCACCCCCACCTGGGCCTCATGGAGGAGGGGAGGGCAAGGCCAGAGCCTGCCCAGTTTTCCGGCGGAAGAGGGACAGCCGTGATCCCGCTCTGGACACCGCGGGGGCCAAAGGACACATTTCCCGTGTCCTTCCTGCCACAGGGAGCGGAGGAAAGGCAGGGGGGGCGGGCTGGGGGAGCCCCTTCTGCCCCCCAAATAACACAGCGAGCACTGGGTGCTCCTAGGGGGGGGGGTCTGGGGGTGCACCCCCTTCCTAGGCAGGGAACCACCCACTGGAGACCAAACTGGCACTGCCGGGGGTGGGACACAAAGGGGCGGGAAAAAGGCACTGGAGCAGCCCCAGCTCCATCTTCTCCATTCCCTTCTCCCATGGAAAATCACATCCCGCCCCGCGCCGGGAGAAGGAAGCGGTTCCTCACGTGGGGGCATCACGGGGTTTGCATGGGGGGGGGTGGGCACAAAGCCAAGCCTGTTCCCACAGAAAGAAGGGTGGGGGGCGGTGCCCATGGAATCAGGGGGGTCCCATCACCTTGTGGGGGAGTTTTCCCCCTTTTTCCCCCCTGTTTCACCTCTCACGATGCTGGAGAACGTGGCCGAGTGTCGGGACACGAAGAGCTTCAGCTGCTCGTCCAGGTTGCAGAGGGTGAGGTCGATGTCCCACGAGCGGATCCCTGCGGAAAACAGGGGCCAAAATTTTGGGGAAGAGGAGAGGGCAGAGCTCACCACCCACCAACACCCACATGGTGCCGGGGGGGACTGTCCCCACAACATCCCCCCCCCCCCGGTATTGCCCCTCTCACCTCACCCCAAATTGGTTTTGGGGGTCCCCAAACCCCCCTGGATCCCGAGGCCCCCACACCTGCCCGGCAGGTGAGCGCCCTGCGCAGTGACTCACGGCAGCACCGGCTGTGCCAGCGCCAAATCCCAACCCCCGGGGCACGGAGCACCTTTGCCAGCACCTCCTCAAAGGGGGTAATTACGGGATTAACGGCGCTGGAGGATTCGGCACACGCCGGGCTCCACCTGCGGGCACCTGCGTCCTCCCGGCGCCCTGAGCACACCCAGGGGCAGCCCCAAAACGCCCCCTCGGGGCCCCCCAGGGGGGTTGGGGGGCCTGGCAGTTCCCCCAAACGGCTCCCAGTAACGGTCCCCGAACTGGGGCCGATGGCGTAACGGGGGCTTGCACAAGGCTGGGGTTTTTGGGGGGGGGGTTTGGGGACGTTCAGGGCTGCCCTCGTAGGGTCCTGCCATGAGGGGACAATGGCTCAGTCCCAGCATTGTGGGGATTTCGGGGATTTTGGGGATCTGCTTCAGTGTGGGGTGTTTGGTGTCACGGCCTGAGACAGCCCCCCCCACCCAGCTCAGGGAGGGGCAGGAGTGGGACGTGGGGGCAGATCCCGGGAATTTAGGGGAGCAGAGCCTGGGGATCCAGGGGGGAGCAAATCCTGGGGGGGTCTGGGGCTGGGGGAGGAAGAAAAGCTTAGAGACTCAAATTGTGGGGATTTGGGGGGAGATCGTTGGAGTTTAGGGGAGCAGATCCCAGGGGCCTCGGGAGAGGCGGGGGGAAGATTCTGGGGTTGAGGGGCAGGAAAAGGGGCAGATCCTTGAGAACAGAAGGGCAGATCCTGGGGGCCTGGGGGCAGGAAAAGCGGCAGATCCTGGGATTTCAGGGGAGCACATCCTGGGATTTTAGAGGGCCAGATCCCGGGGGACCCGGGGCAGGGAAGGGGCAGATCCTGGGATTTTAGGGAGGGGCAGATGCCGGGGGTCCTGGGGCAGGAGGGGGCTGCCCGGGGTGGGAGACTCAACCCCGGGAGGCCCCTGCGGAGGGGAGGAGGGACGTTGGGAGGAGGGACCCCCATGGGGGGGACCCTCCGCGTCCGGAGCATCACCGCGCGGTCTCACCTCGCTCCAGCTGCTGCAGCGCGGCGGCTCTGAGGCCGGGCCGGTGGCAGCCGCCGCCCACGATGGCGAGCAGGGAGAAGCGGCCGTGCGGCCCCGGGGATGCCGCGGGAGCAGCGGCGGGGGCCGAAGGGGCCGGAGGGGCCGCGGGTACCGGAGCCGCCGCCATCTTCGGGCGCCCCCCGCCCGCCTGCCGGCCACGCCCCCTTAACGGCCGCGCCCCCTGCGTCACCACCGCCCCGCCCCGCCCACTGATGTCACCTCCAGCCAATGGCCAACGGACGAAGGGGAGCGGGTGGGAGGGGCGGAGGTGGGCGCGGGGCGGGGTCTTAAAGGGGCAATGGCGGGGTGGGGCGGAGGGTGGGCCCCGCGCGGTGCAGGGTGGGCCGGCGGAGCCCCCGCGTCCTCTTCCCTCGGGTGCTCCATCCCTCCGGCTCCGGAGGGCCGGGGATCATCGCTACCGTCATAGGAGCCCCCCCAGACCCAACCCTCAGCTCCCCCTCCCCGCTCTGGCATCGTTCCCATTCCCGCTCCCCTGCCCCGCATCCCACCCCTTCCCATCCACGCTCGGAACGCCTCACGGCCGCCGAGGGGCGCTGGCACCCCAAAATTCCCCCCCCCCAAAAAAAAAGCAGGCAGCAGGGTGAATTCAATCATTTAATGTGTCCCACCCAGCCCCACAGCCCAGGGCACCCGAGGGTGCTGTGCGGATCCATCCCGGTGCGGGGAGGGGGCACAGGCGAGTGGCAGCTGGTGTCCCCCGGCGTCCCCGATCCCTCAGGAGCACTTGAGGATGAAGAGGTTGCAGGAGGTGCCGAAGGGGCAGCTGCAGAGCTTCCCGATGCGCGCCCCGCGCCGCACCGCGCACGACTTCCCGGGCTGGCACTGCGGGACCGCACCGTCAGCCCCGGCACCCGGAGGAGGTTCGAGGGGCTTGGGGGTCCCCCTGAACGCCCAGGGTGAGCACCCACCGCCCCCCAGCCCTGCCGTACCAAGGGCACCCAGCTCAGCCTCTTCTCCAGCGCCGGCGGATCCCTCGTCCCGAGCTTCTCCAGCACCTCCTGATCCCTCGTCCCGATCTTCTCCAGCACCTCCTGCAGCACCTCCACCTGCCGGACACGCACCGGGACACCGCGAGCTCCCGGGACAGCCCAGGGCTCCGGGCCGGGTCACCCCGAGCCCCCCAGAGGCTCTGGATCTGCATCACCCTGAGCCCTCCAGATCCTTGTCATCCTGAGTCCCAGGAATTTCCACGGGCTCTGGATCCTCGTCACCCCAAGGCCCCCCAGGACGTCCATGGTGTCTGGATCTGCATCACCCGGAGTCCCCGGCAATGTCCGGGGGTTCCTGGCACGCCAAGTCCCGCAGGATCCTGTCCCATCCACGGAGGGCCATCCCCATCCCCCCCCGTGCCTGGCATTATCCCGATCAGGAATCAGGGCTGGGGCAGGATCAGGGGGCTCAGGTCAGTGTTTAGGGTGCATCCCTCCCAACACGACCCCACCCCAACGCAGCAATTCCCACGTGCTGTGGGATGTCCCCAGTGCTGCTCCTGCGAGGAGCCCCCCAAGTACCCGACAACAGCGGCACAAAAACAGTGGTGGGGTCCTCAGTTTCCCCCTCCCCCGTTCCCCTAAAACACCCCAGCACGGCCAGAACCGGCCCCTGAACAGGGGTGGTGGGAGCAGGAGCACCCTGAGGTGCCCCAGAGCCACACGGGGGGTGCTGGGGACCCCCTTCCCCGCTCCCCCCCCCCCAGCCCCTTTACCAGCTCTGTCTCCTCCTGGCTGTGCCCAGGCAGGCTCAGGTGGGGAAGGACCCCTGGCACTGGCTCGGGGGTGCTGGGCAGGATGAGGCCAAAGCCCACCAGGTAGAGCAGGCAGAGCCGAGGGTGTCCCATGTTCCCGGTGCTGGAGCCTTCCTGGATTCTCATGGAAGTGCCAGGCTCAGCTTTATAACCCCCAGCCCCCCCAGGCCCCGGCCTGGGCAAACACCCGCTGACGCAGAGCTGTGTGTCCCCCCAGCCCTGCCACCGTCACCAGGCTGGACGGGGGGACACAGCCCCGGGAGATGCATCCCTTGGGATGCAGGAGCCAGCGGGATGGACGTCAGCACCGCAGCCAGGGAGGGACCCCCAGGGCGACCCCCCCGCCCCGCAGCCGGGCAGAGGCTGCTGCCAATTCCCTGAGCAAACACGGGGCTCATCCCGGCTGGATCATCCCGGTGCATCCCCCGGACACGGCGCAGACGGGAGGGGGGGAAAAGGGGGGCAGGTGGGTCTCACAAACAGATTTATTGCAAAGATGGGGACAGGCAGGGGGACACGGGGGGACTAAAGCCTTGTTGTCCCCCAGCCCTCCCAGTATCCACAGGGCAGTCCCCCAGTGCCACTGCATCCCTTTGTGTCCCACAGGCGCCCCCCAGGCGCCCCCCGGGGGTCCCTCAGTCCCGCAGCACCACTGTGGGGTCCCTTCGTGTCTCACAGCCCCCCCTCCAGTCCCCCCCGAGGGTTCTTCAGTCCCTCCGCACTCCTGTGGGGTCCCCCCTGTCCCGCAGCACCCCCAAGTCCTGTCCCAGGCCACGAGCACCACAGCCAAGCATCCTCCTCCCACTCCTCCTCCTCGCTGGGGGTCTGGGGGGTCCCTCCACTCGCTCTGTCTCTTCGGTCTGGGCTAGTCCAGACCCCCCAGCCCCGAGCCGGTCGCCCTCAGACCGGTCCGGTCCCGGTTTGGTAGCCCCGGTCCCGGTTTGGTAGCCCCGGTTCTGGTTTGGTAGCCCTGGTCCCGGTTTGGTAGCCCCGGTCCAGCTCAGCCCCGGGGCTCGTTCCCCGGGCCGCGAGTGGTCCAAAGCCCCCCCACCCCACGCGCGGAGCCCCCTGGGCAGTGAAGTCCCCACCCCACGGGCGGGGGGCGCGCTGTGACTACACTTCCCAGGGGGCTTTGCTGCGGGGCAGAGAGTGCCCCCTGCTGGGGCGGAGGTCCGAGAGGCGGGAGCGCCGCCACCCGTGTGATGAGTTGCGGCCACGCGCGGACACGGGGGCTCAGCGGGGGCGGGGAGAGGGGGGGACAGGGCGCGGTGGGGACACACACAAGGCGCCAGCAGCGCCGCGGGCAGGTGGGAGCGTGGGAACACGTTTCACGCGGGAGGAAAACTGAGGCACAGCGTGGGCGCTCCCCGCGACCCCGCGGACACGCACCGGTCCCGACCCGGGGGCCAGGACGGGGCGACCCGGTGTGCGAAACCCCGGGATGCTCGTGGGAGGCGGCGGGTGCGCGGGGAGCCGGGAGCGCGTCCCCGGGAGCGCGTCCCCGCGGGCCCGGCCCGTGTGCCCGGCAGGTGGCGGCCGCCGCCCGCCCCGCAGCCCGAAGGTCCCCGCGTGTCCCCGTTTCCCCCGGTACGGAGCGCACCGACCTCCCGCTGCCCCCGCCGCAGGTCCCGGTGCACGGACAGAGCCGTCCCCGCGCCCCGGTGCGCGAATTGCCACCCCCCCCGCTGCAGCCCCCGCTCGAACGACAGACCCCCGGTGCAGCCCCCGGTGCACGGAGCGACCCCTCGGTCAACGAACCGCCCCACGGTGCAGCCCCCGGTGCACGCACAGACACCCCCGGTGCAGCCCCCGACCCACGCACCGACCCCTGGTGCACGGACCGAACCCCCGGTGCATGGACCCACCGCCGGTGCAGCTCCCGGTGCACGGAGCGACCCCCGACCCACGCCCAGACCCCCGGTGCACCCCCCGGTGCAGCCCCCGGTCAACGAACCGGACCCACCGTGCAGCCCCCGACCCACAGACCTATCCCGATCCCGATCCCGATCCCGATCCCGATCCCGTCCTCTCAGACCTCCCCCCGCGCTGCACGGGCGCGACCCCCCGGTGCAGCCCCCGGTCAACGAGCCGAATCCCGGTGCAGTGACCGATCCCCGGAGCTGGACCCCGACCCCCGGACGGACCCCTGGGGCCGATCCTCCCCCGTTCCCCCCCCCGTTTCCCCCGTTCCCGGTTTGGGGGGGGGCAGTTTCAGGGTGCGGGTTTCCCCCCGCGCCCCACCCGTGCCTCGTCCCCACGTGGGTCCCGCCGGCGGCGCCCAATCAGCGCCGCGGCCGCGGGCGGCCTCGCGCAGTGCCAGCCAATGGGCGCCGCGGGGGCGCCGCGCGAGGCCCCGCCCCCGGCGGGAGCCTATAAAAGGCGGGTCCGGGCTCGGCGGAGCCTCAGAGCGATCGAGCTGAAGGAGCGGCCGGAGCTGAGCGGGAGCCGCGATCGCGATAGAGCCGCGATATCTCCTCGATACCTCAGCGGCACCTCCGTAATAGCCGCTCTCGGGATTATTGCTCTTGGAATTTGCCTTCTCTCGCTTGGGATTACAATTGCACCATGACCCTGGAGGAGCTGGTGCCTTGCGATAGCAGCAAGTAAGTCTCGGGCAGCTCGGGGTTTTTGGAGGGTGTGGGAGGGGTGTCTGTCGTTGTCGGTGCCGGCGCTCACCGGCTCTGTCGTTCCTCCGCGACAGGATGCAGGCGGTGAGCGAGGCGGTGGAGCGGGTGCTGGTGGCAGCGCAGCGGCAGGACCGCCTCACGGTCGGGGTCTACGAGTCCGCCAAGCTCATGAATGTGTGAGTATCGCGACAGGGCTCTGTCACGGGGGGTCTGTCGGGGTGGTCCGGGCGGCACCAGTGCAGTTCGCATGGTGGGGGTCCGTCCTGGAGCGGGTATTGCAGGGCTGGTTCTTGCCAGGGGGGTGTGGAGGGGGTAGAGACAGGAATCCAGGCTGCTTTTGGGGGTTCTGTCCCCCATATCTCAGTGCGACAGGGAGGTGACACGGGGGAGGGGGTGACAGCTCCGGGAGGGAGTCACACACGGGAGACCCCCAATGACATGGGGGGCGACAGCTCCGGATTGGGGGGGCTACACCCAGTGAGGTGACCCCGGTGACACGAGGGGGTGACAGCGCCAGGGGTGAGGGGTTGCACCATCCGGAGCCCTCCTGACCCCCCCGTGCCCCCCACAGGGACCCCGACAGCGTCGTGCTGTGCGTTCTGGCCACCGACGAGGAGGACGAAGGCGACATCGCCCTGCAGATCCACTTCACCCTCATCCAGGCGTTCTGCTGCGACAACGACATCCACATCCTGCGCGTGTCCGGGATGCAGCGCCTCGCCAACATCCTCGGCGGGGGCGACCCCGAGCCGGGGGCCGAGCCCCGGGACCTGCACTGCCTGCTGGTCACGGTGAGCGAGGGGATCGTGATGCGGCCCCGTGACCGCGCCGGGCGCCGCGCCAGGGGCCGGGGAGGGTGACGGGGCTCGGGGCCACGTGTCGGGGCGCTGGTGGCACTGACCTCGTGCTCCTTGCTCCCCCAGAACCCGCACACGGACGCCTGGAAGGGCCAGGGGCTGGCGGAGGTGGCGAGTTACTGCGCCGAGAGCCGCGACAGGAACCAGTGGGTGCCCTACGTGTGTCTGCAGGAGCGCTGAGCCCTTCCCGGACCTGAAGGATTAAAAAAAAAAAAACCAAAAAACCAAAAAAAGCCGACATAAACCAGCAGGATAAAAACGAAGGAGAAAACAAGAGCCAGTTCCAACCCACAAACCCAAGAACCCACCGATTTTATTTTTCTTTTTAACCGGAGAGGAGAAGGAGGAGCAAGAAAGGGAGCGCGGCTGCAGCGGTGGGAATGGAGGGGGAGCCGTGCCGAGCCTGGATGGACGCTGGCCAGGGCCTGGAGGGACACTGGCTGGAGCCCAGAGGGACAGTGGCCAGAGCTGCCGGCCCAGGAGTCGTGCTGGCCCAGGGGCCGGAGCTGGGGACCCCCAGAGCCCGGGGGGGGTGACCCCGGAGCTGGAGACTGTCAGGATTTTTGGCAGCTGGGACCCGATGGAGGCGAGGACTTGCAGAGGGGTGGAGTTTTTTCGTTGCAAAAACTTGCTTTTTTTTTCCAAGGAATTACCAACATCTGCACAAGATGGACCTGCAACCCCCCCCGGGGGTGCTGCTTTTGCACTTGGAGACCCTTGAGCTGAACCTTTTCCAGAGTTTATTCTTATACCGAGTGAGGAACTTAAATTTATTTGCAATAAAATATCTGAAGTCACCGGTGTTTGCTCTTCCCTCTGCTCTCCTGGAGCTGTTCCCACGGGGAGTGGGATCGGCTGCTCCTGGGTGGCTTTTGGGGTGGGCTCCAGCCCCCACCTCCCCCTGGGGCTCTGCACACTGTGGGGGGCCTTGGGGGAGGTCCTTTAGTGCAGGGCTGGGGGTTCCCACCCGTGTGTGGCCTCCCCATGCTGCTGGGGAAGGAGGAATTCCCACCCCACCCTTCTGGGGAAAAGGGTCTTTCCAGGAACACCCCCGGGTTGCCCAAAGCTCTGTGGGAAACTGAGGCACGGCCCCCCTGCCGTGGGTGGGGGCTGACCTGGGGTTATGGGATGGAGCTTCCCCCCACCCCCACAGAAACCACAGCTCCCCGAGGCCACGGGAACCGGGACCAGCCACCCACGGAGGGAGGGAGAGCCTGGGAAACCCCCCCACGCCCCCATCCCCTCCCACTGCTGTGGGAATTCCCTCCCAGGTTCTCCCTCAGCATCCCCCGGGGGCTGGATTTGGGGTCAGAGAGAGTGGGGTGAGAACCCAAAGGCTGGGGGGAAAGTGTGGGAGGGTGTAGGGACCTCCAGGCCCCCTCCTGGGGGCAGAACCCCCCTGGCTGGGCACGGGCTGTGCTTGGGTGTGGGCAGTGTCCCAGCAGGGCCGGGAGCTGTGCCAGCCCCGGGAGGGAGCCAGGACCATCCTGCCCATCTGGACACCCTGTCCAGGCAGGGACAGCATGACCATCCAGCCTGGCTGGGACACCGTGGCCATCCCAGAGTGTCCTGTGGCCTGGGGACGTGCCTTGTGCCCTCCTCTGGGGCTGTGACCACAGGGGGAGGGTGTGACAGCCCTGGCTGAGGCCACCCAGCTCTGTGTACCCCCCCAGTGTATCCTGGGGGTCCCAAGGGACAAGGTGGAGGCAACACCCTCTGGGTGGCCCAGACTGTGACCCCCCCACTGCAGCTGGGGGGGACACACAGAGCAAAGCCCCCCGGGTCTGCCCAGACACACCTGACACGAGCTGGGAGGTCTCAGCTGGGAGCTGGGGGGGCGATGGGGGCACGGCCATCCCTGGGATCACCTGGGAAAACCCGAGGGAAAGGGCCCGAGGGCGGCTGAGGCTCCCAAACTCGTTTCACTGATGAGGCAGCAGGTCACGAGGCCATTCCTGTCCCCGGTGTCACCGCGGGCCACTCGTGTGACGAGCGCGTCAGGCCGGGTGCGTCATGGGGGTGGGAGGAGGGACAGCCCCCCCAGACAGCCCCCCCAGCCCCCCCTGCAGCCCCCCAGCCCGGGCAGGACACCCACGGTGCAGCCCCGACCACAGCCCACCCGGGAGCGCACACGGAGCCGCCCACGCCGGGCCGGGTCACGCACATCCCACCCACCCACGGCGTCCCTGCCCCCCCGTGGGCACCAGGACCACCAGGGCCCCCCCCAGACAGCAGCGCGGTGCAACCCCAGGGGCCCAGGAACCCCAGAACACTCCCACCCCCAGTCTACCCTGACTCACCGTCCCAGCCAGGCATGGGGGCGGTGGATCCCGACTGGACACTGATCCATACTTTCCACCCATCCAGAGCCGATCCAGACACCTGGGGGAGGCAGGGGGCGGCTGCTGGGGTTTGGGGGGGGGTCCCTGATTCACGTACGGCCAGACATCCCCCCTGTCCCTCCCCCCAATTCCCTTGGCACCCTGCCAGCATCCCAGAACTGGAGAGGAATCCCAGGGCTCGGAATGGGGGTCCTGGACTATTTTGGGCTTGGCTGGAGAGACCCCAGACCCCCCACCACAAAATAAAAACCTGACACAGAGAGGGAGAGCGTGTTTGGGGGTGCAGGGAGGGACGGGGGGGTCTCGGCCACCCCGAATGGGCCCCGGGGGTGAATCCACACCCCCCGTGTCCCCAGGACCCCTCACGGCGAGGTGGGAGGGGTGAAAAGGGGGGGAGCTCGGCTGGGAGGGGGCACCGAGCCCTTTCCTGGCTCTGGGGCGGCTGCAGCCAGACAGGGCAGGGCCGGATCCCGCTCTGGAGCCGCTGATTTACGAGTCTGGGCTGGGTGGCTCCGGCGGCTCCTGGCCCCGGCCCCGGGCTCTGCCTCCACCCAGGGACAGACACGGGGGACCAGGAAATGGGGGGGCATCGCCCTCTCCCCCCCCGGCAGCTCGACCCATCCCGACATCCACGACCTGTGGAAATTTGGGCTGTGCCGCACGTGGGGAAACTGAGGCACGGAGGTGACCCCGTCCCCCCCCCCGCAGTGATGCTCGGGGGGGTGGGGGAGTGGCGGATTCCGGAGCGGGAAGTGTCACCCCGAGACGTCACGGTCGTGGCCCCGTTGCGTCACGGGTGTCCCCGTGGCGGGGAGGGAACATCGTGGGATCCCCCACGGTGAGGGATTCGGAACCCCCGTGTCCCTGCCGTCATGGGGGTCCCTGGGATGGGGGAGGACACCCGGGGTCGTGCAGTGCTGAGGGGGGACCCCCAGCGCCCTTGTCGCCCTCCCCCCGGTGCCACCGGGACGCTGCGAACCGCGGTGGCACCGCCGGGACCCGCGGCCGTCCCTGGGCCACCCGGTGCCATCGGGTGCCAGCGGCTCCGAGGGCAGGGAGTTAATTAGAGCGGCGGGGATTTAATTAGAGCCGCAGCCGGGCTAAAAATAGCCCGGCGGAGGCGGGCGGGTTATTTTTAGCCGCTCCCAGCCCGGTGCCACCCGGCCGGTGTCGCTCCGCATTGGCACACGGTCTGGTGGCACCGCCGCCCTGTGCCAGCTCCGGCGCTTGGAAGCGGATTCCCGGGAAAGGAGCCGCTCCCGGTGTGTCCTGGAGGTTTAATTTGGGGGATTTGGGCATTTGTGGCGCGGTGGGGGCAGGGACCCCCTCCTTGTCCCCAGCTGGTTGTGGGACGCCGGCACGGGACCTCCGTCCTGCTGTTTGTCCCTCTGCCTGTCCCTGTCCCCTGTCCCAGTGCCCGTCCCGCTGCCCATCCCGCCCTTCCCAGCCCGCGTTTGGGTCAGACAGCGAAACATCCCAGCTATTCCCGGCACGCGGCTCCAGCCCGGCCGGAGCAGCAGCAGCAGGAGCAGATTCCCGCAGGACCCGCTCCAAGCCTCTCCCGGAGCCTGGAGCTGCTGGGAAGCGGGGCAGGAAGCCGGGGCAGGCCGAGATCCTTTTTCTCCGAAAAGGGAAGGAACGCTGCTCTGGGTTTCGCTTTCCTGTGGCTCCACGGGCTGGGAAGGCTCCGCTGCTTTCTGGGAAGTGGGAGATGCCCAGTGATGCTTGGGATGGGCAGGAGCCACCAGGGATGGGGAGCACCAGGGGGGTGGGAGCAGCTCCCAAAGGATCCCAAAGGGCAGGGGAAGGGATCCCCAAGGGGTTCCAGTCCTTGAGGGGCTGCAAGCACAGAGGGCCCCTGATCCCCGAGGATCCGGAATTCCCAATCCCACCCAATCTCCCCCCCCTCCAGTGCCGGGTGCAGGACAGGCCGGACAGGAAGCCTGGTAAAATGCAAAGTGAGCCTTTTTATTGTGTTATCCATTCACTTCGGAACAACAATTCCACGAAATATTCAACACTGTGCGAGAAATCGGGCTATGGCACACGAGGAAGGAAAAACCCGGGAATCGCAGACGGATGAGGAGCCTACGGCACAGACACCGACCACTTCCTAAGGACAGTCTGTACAAACCTGGATTGGCGTTTGGCAACGAGATCAGAGTTTGGCAAATAATAATAATAATAATAACAATAATAATAATAATATTATTATAAGAATAGACCAGAGAGAAGGAAATGAGGAGTGCGGAGGGACCCGCGAGGCCTCTGCGCGACGGATAAATGAGTTATTGGGGTTTTTTGTTAAATAAAGGCGACTTTTTAAGCACTTGGAAACAAGGGGGATTTGGGAGGATCCAGAGGCTCCGGACCACACCGGACTTGGGGTGCCCGGGAGTCTCCCGGCTCCGTCCCCCGAGACAGGGAGGGGAGGACAAGGAAAAGGGAGGAAAAATTAAATAGAGGCAATGTTTCCCTCTCCCTTTTCTTTCCCAGTTTTCTATTTTTGGCACTGGTTTCACCACATGCCATAAAGAAAGGCTGGACAGATCTGGGCATGTGGTTACCTCCAAAAAAAGGCCTTTGTGGAGCCGGGGCTCCGGCTCCTCCTGCTCCCCCTTCGCCCTCTGCAGCACTTAAAAAGTTCTGAAAAGTCTTTTTTTTTCTGTGGGTTTTTTTTTTCTTTTTTTCCCTTTTTTTCTTTTTTTTTTTTTTTTTAAATTTATTTGGCAAATGCACTAACAAAGTACAAGCGACTACTGGAATCTGCACTTCTATTTATGCCATACAAAAACACCTACAGGATGAGCACGGATTTACTCAGACGAGGAAAGAATCCCAAAAAAAAAAAAAAAAAAAAAGAAGAAAAAAAATTTAAAATCAAGGATTTTTTCCACCGAAACGAGTCCCCCACGGAGCCCCAGCACCCGCCGGCAGCTCCCACCCCCCGGCTCCGGCGGGACCCTCGGCCGCTGGCAATTCCGGAGTCCCCGCGCCGGGAGCCCCCAGCCCTGTCCCCAGGCTCCCACGGGAGATGCTCCATGGCCTTTGTCCTGGCTCCCTGCCCCTGCTCCCTGCCCCTGCTCCCACCTCCTCACCCCCTTTTCCCAGCTTGCCCCTTCTCCCAGCTCCCTGCCCCTTTTCCCAGCTCCTTTTCCCTTCTCCCTGCCCCTTCTCCCTTCTCCCTGCCCCTTTCTCCCTCTCCAGCACGGCTCGGGCAGGACCCTGGGGTGGGTGGAAGGATGAGAGGGGGAGGCAGAGTGACCCCAAAGTGCTGGACCGTGGCGTGCCTGGGTTTGCCGGCTGAGCATCCCAAAGGATCCGCTGGCCGAGCATCCCACAGGATTTGCCGAGGGTGCCGCAGTGGGGGCCGGGAAGGGCAGGATGTTGGAGCCCCTGAGGGTGCCGGGGGGTCCGGCAGCCCCTGCTTGGGGGGTGGAGGAGGAGGAAGAGGAGGAGGAGGAGGAGGGAATTCCCGGCTCCGTTCCCGCTCCGTCCCCGCGGCTCCGGGATAGCACCATGCTCTGGTCTCTAACACAGAGGAAGAATCAGCGATCTGGAGTAGAAAAATAAGGCTGGAACTGTACGAGATTAAGGACAGAGGGAATTCCCTCCTGGAGAAGGGAAAGCCCGGCTGTGGCTGAGCCCAGGCTGGACTCGGAGTGTCCGGAGCCTCCCGGCGGGCGGGAGCTTGGAGTTATTCTGGATTTAGGACAGAACTCACCAAAAAGGGTTTGTTGTCCCGGGGAGGGGACACAGAGGGAAATATCCCCCTTTTCCCTGCTCTGCTCCCTCACACCGGGATGGGGTGACATCCAAGGGGTCACCTGTGCCCTGGAATGCCAGGCCAGGAGCCCAGGACACAGTGAGGGGGCACAGGAACTTTCCCCAGGATCCCGGGAAAGCCACGGTGGGCACACACGGGGGGAGGGTCCTGTTAGTGTTAAAAATGTGGGATTTTCCCTATTTTGTTTAAAAGGCAAGTGATGGCAGACTGAAAACAAGGAATGGCGAGATTCCTGCAACCAAGGAATGGAAACGGAGCAGCTCTGCCCATCCCAGCCCCCCCGGTATCCCGGGAGGAATCCCCTTCCCCGGGTGCCAGCCAAGCGGGCTCTGCTCCTCTCCCTGTCTCTGAGCCCCACTCTGGCAGCTCCGGGTGCCTGGGAGCCAGTGACAGCCCTGGGAATTCCATCCCAGGGATCTCCTGCCTCTGGAGAGCAGCCAGAGAACCTGCCAGTGCCCTGCCTGCACCAGTGACTCCGAGCAGCAGCCCCAGTTTGGGCTGCAGGGATTCTCTCTTCAACTGGACCATGACAGCTCGGGGGGGATCAGCTGAGCCCGGGGGGCTCCTCCAGCCCCCCTTTCCCATGGGAAATGCCAGGCTCTGGCGTTTCAAACCCGATCCAGAGCTCTGGGGGGGATGGGGAAACTCCCCAGGATTTCCCATCAGGTGTGGCTGGTTTGATCCTTTCCTTTCCTTCCCAAAACCAACACCCGTGTTCAGGATAACCGGGAACGGCCACAAACGGTGCCTCTGCCCACGGTGGGAGGCTGGACCTGATGATCCCAGATTCCAACCTAATTCTGGGATTCTGGGAGCGCTGGCCACAATCTGAGGAGCTGCTGAGCCCCGGGATCTGCCCTGTGGACACGGATCGGGTCCGGTAATCCCGGGATCCGTCCCCTTCCCGACAGATCCGGTGGCTGGGCAGCTCCATGGGACGTCCCCGAGCTCCAGGCTCTCTCCCAAGGATCTCCAAGGCTCCGTGGGAGGAGGCTCTCCTGCTCCCCCTCTTCCTGCTCCCTCTTCCTGCTCTGTGCCGGGTCAGCCCCCGGTGCTCCCTGTCAAATCCCAGTCCGAGATTCCCAAGGGATGGGAACTGAACCGTTTCTTCTCCTCACCCTCATCTCTGAACTCCCTCTGAACTCCCGCTGCCCCTCATTCCCCGGCTCCAGGGGAAGGAATTCCACTCGCTGCTCCCGGCGAGGGAGACGGGAAATGCTGGGAAATTTGCCGGGTTTAGAGTTTTGGGCTGAAACTCCCCCAAAAGGACGATTTTCCCAGATTCTGGATGCGCACCAGGAAGCCCCTTTGCTCCCCCTGCCCCCCCACGTTTGGGGACAGCACAGAGACCCCCCAAAAGCAGCTGGGGGGGGCTGGTCCTGGCCTGCCCCATCCCTGGGGCTCCCTAACATTCCTCTTGGGATCTGTCCCTGCTGCCGGCTGCTCCCCCCCAGGGCCATTCCCTGCTCCGAGCGGAGCCCTGGGATGCAGGGAAGGGGCCCCCCCACCTCCCTTCAGCCATTCCCAACAGGGATTTTTCCAGCTGGGTTTTTTTTTTTTGTTGGGGTTGTTGGTTTTTTATCCTGTTTTCTTTTTCGGTACTAATTTCCTACAAAATCCTACAAGATCCTCTCCCACCTGGGCCCCCTCCTTGTTCCCTCTCCAGAAACAAGAGCGAATTCCTGCTGGTTGGAGACTAAACTGGATTGGAGCTGTGTCCAGAGCCAGGTCCCGGAGCTCCAGTCTCACATCCCACTGGGAAAAGCCACAACCCCCACCCACCGCTGCCTCCACCCCCCACACTTCTGAATTCCAATGCCCCTGTTAACCCCCCAACCCCCTCCCTCCGCCCTGGTTGTTTTGGATTCTGATTTAAATTTCGCCCCCTCTCCACGTGCAGCCCCTTTCCCAGGAACAGAGGCCCCCCCCCCTTTCCTAAAAACTGCTCCCAAATTATCGTCTCCGTATCGGTTGTTTTCTGGTGTTTGGGTTTTTTTGTTGGTTTTTTTTTTTTTCTTTTTTTTTTTTGGGGGGGGGGTGGTAATTTAAGTTCTGTTTGAAGCCAACATTTAGGGTTTACCCCCGGGCGCAGGTGTGGGAGCTGGGTCTCGGTGGCTGGAGCAGGATCCGTTCCGGAGGGATCCGGGGGCGGTGCCGGAGCTATAGGATGATACAGGGCTTTTTGTCCTTAAAGGGGTTCTCGGAAGCGGGGACTCCAACCAGCAGGGGGTCGTTCCGGGCATGCTGCTCACAGTAATTCATGAGCTCGGAAGACGCTTTGGAGACCTGGAATGTCGGGAGAAAGCGGGAGGTTACGGGGGGAGATTCCTGTGGGGAGGGAGGGAGCCGGCACCCGGCTTTTCCTGAGGGAAAATTATGGGGATGGGGGAAAAAAACAGGGGGACTGGACGGGGAAATGGGTTTGTTTTCGTGGTCTGGCACAAATGAGGCGATGGGTGTGGGGAAACAATCCCGACGGAGAGATGTGAGAGCAGACATTACTGCCCTTGTTTGTGAGGGATCTGGAATGAGCAGGATCTGGGATGAGCAGGCAAGGGAAAGGCCTGTCTGAGTGCAGCCTCTGATGTTAAAAACAGGGCTGTGGAAACCCTTGGAAACTGTTCCTCAAGGCTCTGCTTGGTTTAGTTCAAAGCTGGGTTTTGGGAAGGGCTCCCCAGGAGGGGCAGAGCCCACAGGGAGCTGCCAGGGGCTCTGGAGACCAACAGATCCCGTTGTTTTTCCCAAATGACTTTTAATCATGGGACAAACACAGAACCAGAGCACCTCGGGAGGCCCAGACCTGTTGCAGAGCCTTGATTTTCCTCCTCCCCGGTGGCAGAGGGGCCAGATCATTCCCAGATCCACCCCTGGCTCATCCCTCTCTCCCCCACCCTCGGAGTGTCCCGGGGGATGTGGGGGTTTCCAGGCCACTCGCCCTGCTAACAGGGCCAAGCCGATCCCTCCCCTCTGGGATTGGGGGTAATTAATGTCTTAAGGGATTAATTGCTTTAAGCACAGCCTTGACCTCGTCCCTTGCAGCGAGTTCTGCTCCGGGATCCCAATTTCTGTGCTGAGGGCATTTGGAATGTTCATTCCTGTTCATTCCTCAAAAAGGATGTCCCAGAGGTGCCCCATCCCTGGATGTGCCCAAGGCCAGGTTGGACAGGGCTGGGAGCAGCCTGGGCTGGTTCTTTTTTAAACCATGAGGTTTTGGAGCTGTTTTTAGGGCCTTTCCAGGCTCCAGCCAGGCTTTTTAGGGAAGACAAGCTAAATTACAGGTCTTCCCCCAGCAGGCAGTGCTGAGTCTCCCCAGGGCAATGAGGGTGGCTCAGCTCCAGGATCCCAGACAGAGGGAGGAGGGGGGTGTGCACTTCCTGACCTCTGGAGCTGGGAGTGCTCCAAAGGCTTTGCTGGGAAAGAGCAACAGTGCTGAGAACCTTCCTAGGAGCTCCTCCAGCTCCTGCTTCCAGACCTGTCACAGAATCCTGGAATGGTTTGGGTTGGAAGCACCTTAAAGCTCATCCAGTTCCATCCTGGGACACCTTCCGCTATCCCAGGCTGCTCCAACCTGGCCTTGGACACTTCCAGGGATCCAGGGGCAGCCACAGCTTCTCTGGGTAACCTGTGCCAGGGCCTGCCCACCCTCACGGGGGGAATTCCTTCCGTAGATCCAACCTAAATTTCCCCTCTTTCCGTTCGAACCCGTCACTCCTTGTCCTGTCACTGCAGCTCCTGACAGAGTCCCTCTCCATCCTCCTTCGGATCCCAGAGGGAATGCTGGAACACTGGAATGCTGCAGCATCCCAGCTGGAGGCATCACAGCAGCGCTGGGAGATCCCCCAGCAGCTGCCCAGGGTCCTTCCCAGGGTCCCTCCCCGCTCCCACGCCCACCTTGATCCTCTCGATGCCGGCCTCGATGCGGAGCTGCTCCACCAGCTTCCGGGCCTGCGCTATGTTGTTAGTTGTTGACATTCTCTGCCATCGGCTCCAGGCCCCAGCACAGGAGAATCCTGCAAGAAAAGAGAGGGGGAAATGGGGGTTGGCACCGTGCAGGGAGCCGCTGTGACCCCCTGCACCGTCCAGGAATCCTGGGATGGTGGGGAAGGACCTTAAAGCCCCTCCAGTTCCAGCCCCTGCCTCGGGGTCACCTTCCACTTCCATCCTGGGAAGGGCCTGACAGGAAGGTCCACCCTGACGGCCACGTGCAAGGGGCTTCCAGGAGCTCTGGTGACACCAGTGGAACGTTTCCTGGTTTTGCTCCAAGTTCCCCTTTCCCTGAAGCAGCACAAACTTTGCCGACGGGAGCGGAAAAATCTGAACATTTTTCTGCAGAACCAAAACTCTGCTGGAGCTCCACCCCCAACTGGGCACCGGGGTGGGCTCTGAGGGCCCCATGGACCCCCATCTGCACTGTCCCTGGGGTGGGGTTGTAGTGTCCCTGTCACCTGGGCAGGGCCCAGCTGCACGTGGGGCTGTGCCCGTGGGGTGGTGTCCGATCAGCACAGGGGATCCCGTCCCCCATTCCCGTGGGGCCGTGTCCCTGCATCCCCTGCTGCAGCAGGAGCCCTGGCAGGAGCAGGCAGTGGTTAAACCACCTCCCTCGAAATGCAGCAGCAGCAACTGAAGGAGTTTGTCTCTGATCCCAAACAATGCAGCCCTGTCACGGGTTGTGGGGTGACAGCCGGTGCCGGGCGCTCCGGGGGCAGCTCCGGCCATGCCGGATCCCTCGGACAGGCACCATTCCCGGGTCATTTTCTGTGTGACATCCCTGGGGGGCTCTGCAGAGGTGTCAGGACAGCCCCTCCTCACCCTGCCTGGCGCTGCCTCGGCCCCAGCCCAGTCAGTGCCAGGGCAGAGGGTGCAGCTCCCACCGCCCAGGAGACGATGCCGGGAGGGGGAAGGAGCCAAAGCAAACACGGAGTCGGATCCAGCGGCGCTGCCGGGCCCCTCCAGCCACCCACCACAGCCCTCCTGTGCCTGTTTCAATTAGAGGCTCCTCCAACGTCCTCCCCAGGCCCGGCAGCTTCAAAGCTGAGCCCTCCCGGGGGGAGCAGGGCGGGAGCTCCTGCCCCATCCCGGATCCTCGCAGGCTCGGGCTGTCTCGCCTGCGTTTAGACAGTGAGGGAGTTCATTCCAGACCACAAGGGCACTCTCAGGGATTATTTGGCTTGGCAGCAGCATCCACCACGTGCTGAGCTCCTCAGTCCCTGAGCAGAGCCTGGAACACGGGACGCTGTGGGACAAAACAAGCAGTGCTCCAGCCAGCGTTCCCGACTCCAGCACGGGATGATTCCCTGAACCAGCGGGGTTATCTGGAAATCTCCGCCCCTCCAGCCCTGGAAGGCATCAGTCGGGGCGACACGGGGAGACACAGGGGTGAAACCAAGTCTGGTTCTGTGCAGAATGGGAGAAGGAAGCAGGCTGGTCCCCAGGGGAAGGATCCTCCTCTCCTGCTCCAGCCTGAAGTGCTCCAAAGGGGTGCAGGCGGGATCATGAGCAGGAAAAGCTCCCTCTCAAAGTCGAGCTCTTTCTAAATCCATTCTGTGAACTCAAGAGACCTTCCTGCTGCAAACAGTTCCCCAAAACAATGTGCACCTGGGTGAGGAATTAGCAGCAGCTGGGGGAAAAAAAAAAAATCCAAGCAATTTGTGTTTCCAAGTATTCCATGTTTGCAGCAGCGCAGGATCACCTGCCTGTACTTTCCCAGCTTCCTGTTTATGGAAGGAGGCTGATGAATCAGCCGAGGGCGAGTTAACTCAGGGGACTTCTGGGAGAAGCACAGACTGTATCCCCATCCCCATCCCTGTCCCTGCAGCATCCCAGGGAACCCAGCCTGGCTGGAAGAAGGACAGCGTGGAGAGAGTCCCGCTGCGTGGCAGGAACTGCCAAGTGAGTGTTTTTAAAGTCCTTGGCAAGGGGGCAGAAGTTTTGTGTCAACTGCTCTGCAGCTCCCCACCAGCCCAGTGAATCCCTGTTTCCCCCATCCCACAGCAGGACCTGCCCTGGGGTCAGGACACCCGGCCCTGCTCCGGGGCTGCTCCCAGCGGGAGCTGCACAGCGGCTCCTGTTCCCTGGGTGAACAATTAACCAGGCACGTCACCGGCACCCAGAGGCCATCGATCCACGGCCCCGCCGTGGCTCCCCAGGGACGTCCTCGGGAGTTGGCAAAAGCCAAAACAAACCGTGGAGATGTCACTCGGAGCGGGGCGGGACTGCCCTGTGAGGTAAAGGAGTCTGGAAAGCAGCCCTGCAGGAGGGGAGTGAGGGGGGTGATGTCAGCCAGGGGACCGTCCCTTTGCCCATCTTGGAGCAGTCGGTGTCAGGGAAGGGACGGGGATGTGACGCCTGCAGCGGGGCAGGAAGGACGGGGCAGTCGGGACACCCGAGCCTCCTGCTCGTCCTCCCGCCTGCACCGGCGCCTGACCCTGCAGAAATAACCCACACAGCCAGGCCTCCTTCCTGCCAGAGGGGCAAAGGCTCCGGAGCTTGGCCTGGACCCACCTCCCGCCGCTGCCAGGGCCGTTCCCGTCCCGCTGCCGTGACTCAGCAGAACGGCCTCGCGCTGAGTCACCCGCACGCATCACTCAGCAAAAATAAACCTTCTGCCAGAGCACCCTCTGCCTTCCCGGCCCAGCCACCCTCCCCTTCTCCCCGGCAGCGTTCCTGGGCTGCCCAGAACCACAGCCCCGTTTTCGGGAACGGCTCTGGTTGCGTTACCACCACGTCAGCTGTTGCTCGCTCTGGCACCGAGTGACTCCAGGAGGGGGGAAGTCGCCAGATCTTGCAGCTCTCTGGGCTCTTATCCCTGTTCCTCTGGCAGCAGAGGGATCTGGCAGGGCCCAGGCCAGGGAGGCATTAGCAGGGCTCGGGGCTGCAGCAGGACTGGGGTAGGATGGCGGATGTTCAGTGTTGCAGCACTAAAACCACCGAGATTTAACAGAAATTCAGAGAACACGAGAGCACGGGCAGTGATGGATCACCCAGGAGCGTTCCAAGGTCAAGGCCGACACAAACAACCCTGAGGGAGGTTGTGAAACCCGGACAAGGATCCTGGAGTGCAGGTGAGGGGCACAGCGGGCTCAGGAGTGACGTAAACACAACCCGAGGGACGCTCTGGCTGCAGCACAAACATCCAAGGAACACTCCTGCCTATTTTAGGAAAAGCACTGGAAGACTGAGGCCCAGCAGTTCGGTCAGGACACATCCCAAAACAATTGGGATTTGCTGTTTTAAACTGGTTTGCACATTGTGGACTAAGAGCAGGTCAGGATGCTCAGAACCAGATCCTGTCCCAGCTCAGTTTGACTCCAGATCAGCCCCAGATCTCCTCTCCTAGGCTGGGCTCCATCACTGAACAAAAACCATTTCCAGGACCATGCCGAGTCCTGCGCTCACATCACGTCCCTTCCCAAAAAAGGCTGCTCAGCATTTCCGAGCAGGTGGGACCGCGGGAACCCGGGGCTGTGCCGGGTCTGTCCTGCACAGCCCTGACGTCAGGGCAGCACCCACCGGGGTGGCACCTCCGCGTCTCACAGAGCCCCCCTTGTTCCCGGGAGAGCTCGTTCTGCAGCAGGCAGGCTGCAGAAGGCCTCATTTGGGCTGTTTTCCCGGGAACAGACAGCCCGAACCCGCGCAGCTCCTGAGTCAGCCGCGTGCAGCAGCCGCGCGGTGACAGCAGCGGTGACAGCGCGGTGACAGCAGCGGTGACACAGCGCTGGCTCTGACGAGCGGTGACTCAGCAGCGGCTCCGTGCAGGAGCAGCCGCCTCCTCCCGCGGAGCTCTCCGGGCAGCCCCTGCCCTCTCAGCCCCATCCCAGCCCCGGCGCTCCGGGATCGGGATCAGGATCGGGATCGGGATCGTGGTGGGGTGGGTGAGGTGTGGGAGCGAGCGCGGGCCCTGCCCTGACACAGCTCCCGGTCACGAGGCTGAAACCGGCCCCGGGGAGCCGGGCCTGCCCCGGCCTGCTCTGCCCGACACCATCATCCATCACCGCCTGGCACCGACCCCTTTCTCTCCCGCCCCGCCGGGTGCCACCCGCCCGCTCCGGCCTTACGGCACGGGACAAATATGCACTGATCCCTCTCGATTGGGAATTCTTCCCATACTTCTCATAGCTGGCAGCTGCCACGCCTTGCAGGGTGAAGAAACACCGAGCACCTGAGTAACTGCCCGAGTTAGGCCGCTTTTGTCTTCCTTCCCCCTCCACCTGCTCGAAGTGTGGGATTGGTGCTTGTGGATGTCCCCATGGACCCTCCCCTCCCAGGGCGGTGGGATGAGGGAGCGGGATCCGGAGGGATGAGGGAGCAGGATCCGGAGGGATGAGGGAGCGGGATCCAGTGGGATGAGGGAGAAGGATCTGCCGCGCTGGGAAGGGATGTGGGGAGATGGTCGGGGCAGGCCACGCTCCTGGATCTCGGCCTTAATCAAACTTGGGGAGATGGTCAGGGCAGGCCACGCTCCTGGATCTCGGCCTTAATCAAGCTGTGCTTCCAGCTAATTAAAGAGCAGCCCCACCCCCGCAGCCCCCCGTGCTGCACAACCCCAACCCAGAGCTGCAGGAAGCCAATCCCACCTTGGCTGCAGCCCCAGGGTATCTGAGCCCCCCACACAGCCCCCCTGCTCGGAGGGAGCTGCTCCTGCCCAGGTGGGAGCCTGGATCCCCTCCTGGAGCAGGGCCAGGCACCCGAGCGGAGCCACACGGAGCGATCCCGGAGCCGGGCTGGTGCCAGGAAAGAGGAGGGGGCGACAAAGGGGGAGCCTGGGACTGGTATCCCAGTGTCAATCCCTGCTTTTAGGGATGACCTCATGCTTTTTTGGAACAGAGAGCGGCTGTTGGGGCCGTGGCATTTACTCCTTGTCTGGGCAGAACAAAGCTGGCTCCGTTTTCCTTTTACACTTCCTGAGCAGCAGCTCCACAGCTCAATGAGCCATTGAATTTTTCCCTGAGAGCAGCAATTTTTAATTCTCTTTTTTTTTCCTCTCCCCTCCTTTAAGACCTCCAGATTTCTGTGGCGTGGGACAATGCTCGGGAGAGCATGGCAAGGAGCTCGGCCCAGGAGCCACCCCAGGGTGGGAAAACTCCTCAGGCAGGGCTGGGCTCCGCTCTGCCTCCTGCTCAGGATGGGGGATTATCCACATTTCGGTGCTGAAACCACCCAGCTGGGATTTCCACACCTTCTCCTGCAGCGTGACCAGCACGAGGAGCTCTGGGATGCCAAAGTGTTTCACTTTGGGAACAAACAAGTTCCCCAAGTACCAGGGAGCTGCTCTGGCTTTGCAAACTGTCCCTCCCCAGGTAAATTACACCCTCCTCACAACAGGTTGTAACTAGGCCAGGTATTCTAAGACATTCCATGTCCCTCCTGCAGCTCCAGCCTGGCACAGACGGACCCTCTGGAGCCGCTGCCTCCAGCCCAATTTCAATAATTTAGAAGCTTCAAATCCCATCATCACCAGGTCGAGAGAGACCTTCTCTTCAACTGCAGGTTCACACCGAGAACAATCTGGGTTTGGGGGTTGATTTACTTCCCCAGCTCTAACCTCTCGGGATGGCCCTTCCCAGGTGGAAACCACCCGACCCCCCAGCTCAGCCTTGGGTGGGTTTTGTTCAGAGGCACAGAAGGAAATTTGCTTTTTTTGGGGGGAAAGCAGCGTGTTTGCTCCTCTGCTTGTGCTGCTCTGAGTGGAGCCTCCCTGAGGGAAAGCAGCATCCCTAAGGCAAGGGGTGCCTCCAGGAAAAGTGGGGCTGGTGGCGCAGTGCAGAGTGGTGGGACACGGTCACAGTGACAAGGGGCACGGATTGGATGCTCCGAAATTCCGCCCGGATTTGCAAGCAGGCGGTTGGAAGAGAAGGATGGCACGGCTGCTTCCCGCTGTTCCCGGGTGTCTGCACGGATGGAGGGGAGGGCACATCTGTCAGGGACAGCTCTGCCTTCAGCAGGAGATGCAGTAATTGCTGAAATATTGCATCTCCTGAACTGCCCCAGTTTCCACCCAGCCAA